AGCCCGGCTGCCTCCCCCCACCCTCTGATCCCCACTCCTCAACTCGGAACAGAGCATCTGCCTCAGAAGCCAGCCCCGTGGCTTCCTGATCTGATGATGGGCAAGCAACAGAACTGATTCCTGAAACGCCATCCTACTTGGGGGCAGCTCCAGGTCCTCCAAGCATGGAAAGACCCCCCAGACAACAGTCCCTCTCTCCAGGATACAGGTGGGAGGCCTCTGCCTCCCATCACCTGGAACTCACCCATATGGCCCAAACCAGGGCTTCCAGACCATTCCAGACAATCTAGGGAGACATCGAGTGCTTTCCTTGGAATCTTTCCTCTCCTAAATTCCAGACCTATGAGGCCATAGTTTTTTCAGGGGAGGAATGGGGACATTTTTCCTCCCTTCCTCAATGATATTTAATGAGAACCTACTATTTGCCTGGCTTTGTTCTAGACGCTGGAACTAGAAATCATGAACACAGTAGGCCAAATCTCTTCCCTCTTGGAGTTTTTATTCTATGGAGGGAGACAGATTAAATCAATAAATTAGCAAAATTAATGGTATCTTAGAAGGTGATCAGTGCTATTGGGGGTGGGGGATGTAGGGTAATGGGAGGCGGGGAGTGCCAGTGACACTGAGCAGGTGACATTTGAGCAGACATGAAGGAGGCAAGGAGGGAGCCCCTGTGTGTGTAGGGAAGAGCATCCAGCAGGGGGAACAGCCAGAGCAAAGCCCTGAGGAAGGCAGAGCCGGAGGGACGAGCAGCAGGGCCTGAGGGCAGTGAGGTCAAAGGGTCAGGTCGTGCAGGCCTTGGGGGCCACTGTGTGGACTCTGAGCTGGGAGACATTGAAGAGTTTGGGCGGAGGAGCACATGGTCCTGGTGCAGTTCTGAGAGCACACTCGGGGCTGGGTGAGGGGACAAGGGAAGCCAACAGCACTGGGGAGGCTCCTCCGGGGAGAGCGGGGGGGCAGTGGAGGCGGGGCGGAGTGCTTGGATTCTGATCTGCTGTGAAGGACTTCCTGTCGGATGGACAAGGAGTGTGAGAGACAGAGCTGACGAGATGGACGTGGGGAAGTGTATTCGTTTCCTGTGGCTGCTAAAACAAATACCACAAACTGAGATCTATTCCAGAGGCCAGAAGTCTGAAATCAAGGTGCTATGGGCTAAATTGTGTCCCCCCAAAATTCATATGTTGGAATTGTAATCCCCAGTGCCTCAGAATGTGACTGTATTTGGGTATGGGGCCTTTAAAGAGGGAATTAAGTTAAAATGAGGCCGTTAGGCTGGGCCCTAATCCAATAGGACTGGTATCCTTGGAAGAAGAGGAGATTAGGACACAGACACGCAGAGAGGGAAGCCCATATGAGGAAACAGAGAGAAGACGGCCGTCTACAAGCCCAGGAGAGAGGCCTCAGGAGAAACCAGCCCTGCCCACACCTTGATCTCAGACTTCCAAACTCCAGATACATGAGATGATAAATTTCTGTGGTTTAAGCCTTCCAGTCTGTGGCACTTTGTTATGCTGGCCCTAGGAAACGGATGCACAGGGTGTTGTCAAGGTTTGTTCCTTCTGGAGGCTCTGAGGGAGAATTCATTCCATGTCTCTCCCCTGCTCCTGGTGGCTGCTGACGACCCTTGGCGTGTAGATGCATCGCTGTAGCTTGTGCCTCGGTTGTGCAGCTGTCTTTCCTGTGTGTCTGTCTGTGTCTCTTCTGCTCCTTTTATAGGGACACCAGCCATTGAATTTAGGGGCCACCCTCCTCCAGTATGACCTCATCTTAACTTGACCACATCCGCAAAGACCCTATTTCCATATAAGGTCACATTCACAGATTCCGGGTAGACGTGAATTTGGGCGGGGGGCCACTATTCAACCCAGTACAGGTGTGTTCATCTACACTCCCTTAGAAACCCACTTTAGTCCTATCAGGCTTGGACCCTCAGAACCCTTCCAAAACACCCCACCATGTCCAGAGTGATGGTGGGGGCTGCGTGCACTGAGCCCTGGGCTGCCTTCTTAAAGGAAAACATGACTCTTATCAGGTGCAGGCAAAAATACATTCAATTGATTCTGCTCCTGGCTCCCTCTGGTCATGGGAACCCACCGCCTCTCATCAGCGATCATCAAATCCCTCCTGGAACTGCAGGCTGGTGGGCATAGCTGACCCAGCCCCTCCTGCCATCCAAGAGTAGGGCTAATATAGAATTGTAACACTGCTTACGAGGATGCGTGGGAGGGATGTGGCCATGGTGGACAGAGCTGGAAGCCAGCTACCACAGGCCTGCAACAGGCCGGTGACCAGAGGCTGGTGAGTAAGCACACAGTGCGCTTCCCACAAGTCCCCCGACCTGGCTGCAGCTCTGGAAGCCACCTGCATCCCCCAAAGCAGCACTCACAGACGGCGTAACAGTCGGGGAGCACCTGGGAGGACCTGCCTTGCTCAGAGGGAGCAGGCAGCCTTGAAAGTGCATGGCTCTGCTGCCTGACCCAGCACGCTGCCCCGGCAGCCTATGTACCCTCCAGTTTTGCAAGTCAAATATTCTCCTACTGAAATGTATTGCAGCCGTGTGCGTCTTCAGTTGGCAAAGTAACGCTTCTCTCTACAGATCTGTTTTTTCTGCATTTTTATCCCACGGTTCTTTCTACCCAACCTTTTTGATGTGGTTAACAATGTATTTTTTTAAAAAATTTTTTTAACTTCTGTAAGACAAACACCTGATGACCCCAGTTTTTGCAGAGATGTAGCTCCTTTCGCAGCATGAACAGCCACTTCTAAATTCCTGAGGGTGGAGTTGAGACTTTTTTTTTATCCTGAGTTCTCTTGAAGGCACGTGCAGAGACAGGGAGTGGTTCTAAATGACGCCTGGCTCTCGTCTATTAGGAACACTTTAAAATAACTAGAGGCAAGAACATTCCCCCCTCTCTCCAAGGATTCATTTGATCCTCTCATCAGTTATCCAAAACACAGGGTCCCCTATAATGTCCAGGTTCCTTCCCGTCCTGAACCCTGACACAGCTGACCCCGCCCTACATGCCAATGATGCTGATGTTCTGGAAAGTTCCCTAAACGGCTTTGCTCATTAAACAGGGGGCTTCCCAGAGTGGTACAGCAGAAGTAGGGCAGGGTCCACTCCCACCCATGTCCAGCTCCTTGGAGATTGGGGCACACCCAGTGGGCGTTGGGTGGTGGGGATGGCGGGAGAGCAGAGGCAATTAAGAAGAATTTCGAACCTCTTACAGAAGAAAAACAGCTCAGGAAGGGTGTAGACTTAGAGGTGTACAACTCAAAGTGTGGTCCTCAGACCAGCAGCATCAGCATCATCTGGAATCTTGTTAGAAATGCAGGATCGCAGGCCCCACTCAACCTCCTGAACGAAAAAATGTGTCATTTAAGACCTCTGGCAACTCTCATGCATATCCAAGCTGGAAACGCCCTGCTGGAAACGGAGGTTCTCACACTTGATGGTGCACCAGGACCCCTGGGGGCTTGTAGGAACACAGGTGGCTGCCCCCTCCTCAGGAGCTGATTCAGGTGTGGGATGGGGCCCAGGGACCTGCATGCCCGACAAGTTCCCAGGCATGGCCTGCATCCCAGCTCTGGCCTACAGTCTGCCTCGGGTCTCAGACTCGGCTGTATGCTGGACTCACCCAGGGATGCCTGGATCCACCTCCGAGAAACCCTCATGAGTCTGATCAGTCTGCAATGCAGCCTGAGCAGCAGTGTGAGAACCACCAGTCTGAACCACTGACGGGGACCTGAGGCCCCAGACAGTGGCTCCATCAGGTTCACTTGCCAGAGAACACGACAGGAATGTCTGCTGCACCCAAGATCTGCTCTTGCTGTTTGAAAGACCCAAACGTCCATGTGTGGAAAAGAAAGAGACTCTGGCCGCCTGGCAGATGCTTGGCTATGTTTAGAGCACACAAGCTTTATTCGGCAATAATGGCAGTATTTCATGAGAATGAGCCGCACGACCTTAGGAATGCTGTTTTCAGCACAAAGTCTGAGAGCAAACGTACAGCAACAGAGATCCACCTGCCCGGCCCTGCCCCACCCTCCCCACACAGGCCCAGGCTGCTCTGGGCACTACTGCACGGTCAGACCACGGCCCAATCCTGGTCTCCCTCTGTACCCATGACGCGCTCTCTCCACATGCTCTGCCTCCCCCAGGCCGCTGGGCCAGAAGGGAGAGAGGTGGGCTGGTTCCCTCACTGTTGGCTCTGTCCAGTCCTGCCTCTTCCTTCTCAAGGCCACCCAGGGAGCAGTGGGGCAGCAGAACATCATCCCCACAGGGAACTCCAGTCCCCACTGGCTCAAATCCTCTTTTGCTGCAAGGCCTTTTCCTCAGTGGAAGTTAACATGGTCTCAACAAAAGAAGGTGCTATTTATAAAGCACTTTGCACTTACAAAGTATTAGCCCTGCCCCCACCAGGCCCCCAGCAAGCAGGCAGGAAACAGGGTATCCTTAGAATGGGATCCAGTAGCCACAGGGGCAGTGACAAAGGGAGCGGCCAGGCCCAGGAGCTGTCACGGCCATGTGGAGAAGGTCAGATTTCATTTTAGTTCTAATTCAGGGTACTTAAGGGATACAGAGGAAATCACGTGAGATGCTTGTGTGACACGTGTGTATTTCTGTGTGTGTGTGTGTGTGTGTGTGTGTGTGTACGTGTACACATGTATGCACTTGTCTGTTTGTAGGCCCTTTCTTGATGTATCCTTGACCATTAGTGACCTCCCTCCTAGCTCTGACCTGGGCAGGGCTGCCTGGGGGAGGGAAGTGCGAACCCCAGAAGGATGGCAGACATGCCAATATGGGCAGAATGGGCGAGGGGCAGCCGGGTACACCTGTGGGAGAACAGGGACCATGTCGAATGTGGAAGTCCCACCTGGGGCCTCTTCAAAGGCGAGCGGTAGGGTGGGGCTCACGGCAGTGGCTAGACTGTACAGATGGATGGGTGGCTGGGGGCTTGTCACGGGGGGCTGTGGCAGCAGCTGGACTATAAAGATGGATGGCTGGCCCCAGTGGACTGCCCCACACACATGAACCCCCCCTGCTTGATGGCGTGCACCACCCTGCGCTAAGCGCCAAGTCGGCAGTCAGTTAACACTGAGACGGGGTGGGGGGCTCACACTGTGTAAGTTTTGACAGACTTGTAGAGGGGTGGCAGCAGCCCATGGTTCTCACGGACGACTTCCAGGTACTCAGATGGAGTCTCCAGCAAGAAGGGCCCACAGCACATCTGGCAGCAGCACCTGACCCCAGCGGGTGGCTCCGAGTTCTTGTCAGACATGGGGGAAAAGTCAAAATCAGCCACCTATGGTGAACAAAACCCCAGGGGTCAATCACCCGCCTGCTGGAGTCCTGTCAGGTGGCCTTACAAGCTCAGCTGCCTGGCAGCAGTGTGCACAGGCACACCTTTCTGGTGCCACACAGCACTTCACTGTGCCTCTGGCTCTTCTGCTCTCTGGGTCTCCCTCTTTCGGGTACCCTCTCCCTTATCAGTTCTTGAGCACAGATGCCAGGCAAGGAGTGAGCGCAGAAAGAGGTAAGTCAGATAAGAAGAAGCCGAGTCAACAATTTGGCCTGGTCTATGGATGCCTCTGGGGCACATCATCCCCAGTCCCAGGGCCTGGCTCTGACATCCAGACCTCCTGCAGAACCCCTGGCCTAGCTCCCATGCCCTCCCCGCAGATCCTCTCCAGTCAGGGCCCAGTGGTCCAGCCCCCACCCTTCTGAGCACCCACCTCCACCATGTCCTTCTGCTGAGCAGCATTCCTCAGGGTCATGTACATGATGAAGGCCAGCATCATGGTGATAAGCGTGGCACATGGGAAAGCAAAGACAGCTGGCTGGATGCCTGGGAGTGAGAGAGGGGGAAGTCACGGGGCTGGGTAGCTGGTGCCAAATGCCAGCTCTCAGGAGGAGACCACAGTAGAGAAGAGATTAGTCAACTCCCACCAGAGCTGTTTTTTCCTTATGTACCTGCATCCCAACTAGGCAACCCCAATAGGCAAATCCAGGATCTCACACAAACCAAGTTAGTGTGTGTGAGGGTTTTACAATATGTCCACAAGTACTTGATAGTAACTTTCTAGAGGTGCAGCTCAATTCCCCACACCAAGTGTGGGCTGGACTTAGTGACTTGCTCCTAATGAACTGCATACGACAGCACTGATGGCACACGACTTCCGAGTGTAGGCCACAAAAGACATCCCAGCTCCCTCCTTGCTCTCTCTGGGGTGACTTGCACTGGGAAAGGGAAGCCATGTAGTGAGGACACCCAAGCAGCCCTGTGACCAGGTCACAGCTTTCCGCCCTCTGGCAGCTCTGGGCTCACTCACTGATCCTTCTGCCAGGAAGACACATGCAGAGCAGGAAGAGCCCAGTGTCTGGAGTTAGGCGGTCCTGGGTTCGAATCCCAGCTCTGCCAGGCTACCTGATGCTAATGTTGACCTGTGAGGCTGCCACGGGGATGTGACAAGGTGAGGTGTGAATGTGCCAGGTGCACGGCAGGTGACCAGCAAGTGTGGGTTCCCTCTTACTCTTCCCTCACCCTCACCCGCCTCCTGGTATAGACACCACCATACACCACAAGGATCTGTTTCCCAAGAAAAGGCAGCACTGATTACCTGTAGTGTTGTCTTCTCCACAGCATTCAGGGGGATCCTGGGTACTCAGTGCCCAGGAGGTGCTGGGGGAGGCAGGGCCAAGGCGCCCGCTGATGACTGCAAGTCACAGAGTCTGCCTGAACCACAAGGTCACCCAGGGCCAGAGTGGAGTGTGGTATCTGCTCAAGGGCTCAGAGGGACGGAGGAGACTGGAGGGGACAATGATGGTGTCTGTTGCACTTACAGGGCCAAGCTTGGGGACAAGTGCAGCTGGTAGGATTTCCCCTTGTGTACTATAAAGGGTGGGGCCTGGCTGGGCATCTGAAAGACCATCCCTTAGGATTCTGGGATCCTACTTTCTCCTCTATGTAAAGGAAGCACTTTTCTGGGGTCACAGAAGAGTCCTCTGGAAATAAGGGGTAGAAGTTAATGCTGTCATCAGCCAATCCTACGACTGTCATCCAGCGGCCAGGCCTGACGTTGGTTTGGAGAAGGGTATTCAGGGGGTAGATGGTTGGGCGTCCTCATGAATGACAGGGACCCTACTGTGCACTTTCTGAGCAGCTCGCACTCCCTGGGAGACCCACAGCAGCCCTGTGAGTCAGGCATGCACTGCTGGGGATGCGGGTTTTAGTGGTGGCAACAGTGCTGGGATGGGCACGATGGTGCTGGGATGGAGGCGATGGAGCTGGGATGGAGGCGATGGAGCGCGGATGGAGGCAACGGTGCTGGGATGGGCGCGATGGTGCTGGGATGGAGGCGATGGTGCTGGGATGGGCACGATGGTGCTGGGATGGAGGCGATGGTGCTGGGATGGGCGCCATGGTGCTGGGATGAGGCGATGTTGCTGGGATGGGTGTGATGGTGCTGGGATGAGGGCGATGGTGCTGGGATGGGCGCCATGGTGCTGGGATGGGTGCAATGGTGCTGGGATGGAGGCGACGGTGCTGGGATGGGTGCGACGGAGCTGGGATGGGTGCGATGGAGCTGGGATGGAGGCGACGGAGCTGGGATGGAGGCGATGGTGCTGGGATGGAGGCGACGGTGCTGGGATGGAGGTGATGGTGCCGGGATGAGGTGACGGCGCTGGGATGGGCGTGATGGTGCTGGGATGGAGGCGATGGTGTTGGGATGGAGGCAAAGGCACTGGGATGGAGGTGATGGCAGAGAAGGAGGGAGCATTGCGATCACGGTGGCTCATTTAATGAGGGAGTGTTCGAGTCAGGGACATGTGGGGCATTGGTAACGTGGGAGGGACACCGACAGCGATGACGGTGGTGGCAACAAGAGAGCTGAAGTTGGGGTGACACCTGGATGGCACAGCAGCGATGGCATTGGTCCAAATGGCTGGTGTGGGGACTGGTGGCAGGGGCATTCATGGCAGTGCTGATGGTGGTATGGGTGGTAGCGACTACAGAGCTGTCTGCTGGCTCTAGATGGTGCTGGAAAAACTGCCAGCAATGGGTGTGGTAATGGTGGCAGTGGTGCTGGTCAAGTTGGCTGGCAGTAGCTGAGTTGGCCGCTGTGGTGCTGGTGTTGAGAGTGGCATGGGGGTGCTCGAGCTGGCTGCTGATGGGACTGGTCGAGTTTGGTGTGGTGGTGTGGGCAGTTGGTCAATGGTGTTGGTTGGGGCCAGTGGGGTTACTGACGATTCTAGTATAGGCGGGCTTGGTTGCTGATGGCATGGGTAGGGTTGGCTGGTGGTGGTGGCAGGGTGGACTGGTTTTTGCTACCTATGTGGCACTGGAGCAGAAGGCAAGGTATCACTTACTGGAGGGCCACACCTGGATCCTGTGGTACTGATGCGTCTTGCTGATGACATTCTCAGCCCGGATGCTGAAGCAGTAGTCCCCTGGATCCCTGAAGGTGTGGGTCAGGTTGTAAGCTGTGCTGGCCACTGACACTGGGTGGCATTCCCCTTCCTCCAGCGGGAGGCACTCGGGCTTGAGACGCCAGCACACGGTCAGAGGGGGGCTGCGGAGAAATGGGGGCGGTTTTTCAGAAATGGCTCGGCAAGGAGTGTGAGCACAGACCAGGTCCGAGAAAGGCCAGGTGACCGTGAACTTCAGTGTCCTTTCCAGGACAGAACACCAAGCTGTCCTGGCCTCCACCTCACACCTTCTAGACCAGGGAACACAATGGTACATAAGAGATGGCCCTGGACCCGGAGGAGATCCCAGGCCAGTGAGGCAAACAGGGACTGCACAGACTGCTGGACAAGGCAGAATGAGTGCTCCAGTGACACACGTGGAAGCACAGCGGACAAGTGAGCCCATTCTCAATGAAAGTCAGGGAAGGCTTCCTGGAGGAGCTGGGCTTTGAGTAGGATCTGAAAAGGTAAGTAGGCTTTTGATAGGTTTGAATAGGGTGAGGGCATTCCGGGTTATCCACCTGCCACAGCACAGGCTCAGAAGCTGGAAGATGCAGGTCCATGTAAGGGACACTGAGTAAGCATTCCCATTTCGCAGAACCCCAAGCCTGGGTAAAACAAACAGTCATGCCACCTCAACGATCAGGTCTGCCAACCCGAGTGCCTTCCTACTCCACTCTCCAAGCACTAAGCTCCTGCCTCCGAAACCCCCTGGGAGCTTGAGAAGCCACTTCCAGCCCCTTGGCTCATCTTCCTCCTCCCTGTCCAGCCTTGCTTCCCTCTGAGGTGTTCCAGTATGGCCGGGCAGTGTTGGCCTTCCCCACGAGAGTCCTTGGAAGGCTGGGCCCTGACCTGACCTCTGCAGCCCCGCCCACGCTCATGGGAGAGCACACCCAGCATCTCCGTGTCTCGTCGCTTACTACAAACTCAGCCTCATGGCTTTCTTGCCAAGAGCCGAGCCAGGTCCTGCCTAGGAAGGCTAGCTTTCCGGGGGCTGGAAGCAGGCCCAAGTTGCATACAGAGGGCTTTTCACAGGAGTGGTCCTTCCCCTGCCTTTGCCTTGATGCCTAAGCTGCAGACAGCCCCAAAAGGCCCGTGCTCCCTCCCCTGACCCTGAGAAGGGAGCTGTGCTCCCGGCTCTCCCATGGCATGGTTGCAGGGCAGGATGGCATTATCCTCCCACCAGCCCCCAGACCTGAGGCCCATTGGGGGATGGAGCAGGCTCAGACTCATCTGTGAGAGAGTGTGGGCAGGGCCATGAGTCACCCACGGTGCCCTCTGTGGTTCACTCACCTCCCCAGGAAGTTCAAGGTCACTATCATCTTTTGGAAGGTCTGAATTAGGGTGGGCCCCAAGACCTGGATGCCTTGAAGGGTTTCTGAAAGGCAGAGAGGACCCCGTTAAACCTGGTGACTGAGGACAGCTGTCTCAGGGCGCCCAGGGCTGTGTGACCACCCTGTCCTCCTCCCCTCCAGCCCTCTCCCAAGGGTGGGTCGCAGGTCTGCCCCCAGGGCATGCCCGGATCCTGCCTCCCCGTCAGCAGCAGGGGCCAGAGCTGGCTCAGTGAGGAAGCTGGAGGGAGCAGGCAGGGCTCCGGGAACCAGCAGCAAGGGCTGGTGCAGGTCACCCCCCTCCCCATCATCTGTGCTGCGTGGGGAGACCACCGTTAGTGTGCGCAGCTGAGAAATCTGTGGCAGCTGCCCAAGCGCCCCCCTCACCAAAGCCAGGGAGTGACGGGTTTCAGTTCCCTCCCTGTGCGGTAGACTGAGGCACAGTCTACTGTGCTTTGTGTCCTTGACCGGAGGCCCGTGTGGCCAGGGAACAAGGAGCGATACGGACACACCAACTCACAGCAGAGCCTCTGGCCACAGGCTCGGGCTCTGGGAGCAGGCAGGCCCGGGTTCAAATCCTGCCTCTGCCACTTGGTGGCCACATGACCTCCTCCGTGGCCTTCAGTGCCCTCTTGGAAGCCTGGATAATGACAGGCTGCTCAGAGGGTTGCCAGGGGCACGAGAAGAGAGGATGTGCATCCGGGCTCAGCCCAGCACGCCACTGGAGCCACTCTGATCTGGGCACAACCCAACCCTGGAAGGAGTGGTGGCCAGGGCTCCTCGAGGGGCCACAGCTCAACCTGCACCAACCCCGGCCCGAGACCCACCCTGCAGCTTCAGGGAGGCGGAGAAGTCGCCTGTCTTCTGCACGATGCCCTTCCCCGCGTCCAGTGAGGCCTGCTCCCATTCTGCCACCACTTTGAGCTTCACGGTGAAGGTTCCAATGATCGAATAGTTATAATAGACCATAGGGTCTTCAGTCACCATCAGGGTGCTGTAAGGTGAGAGAGAGATGACAGAAATTACTCACGTGACTTCTTAGAGTCAGCGGTGGCTGCACAGTGACATGCTCGGCTACCAATGCCTCATGAGCGAAGCTGCCATCACAGCAGCAGCCCCCAGAGCCAGCCAGGGTCAGCTGTGCTTGGGTAAAGGGGCTGCTGGCTGTCTTTGTGCTTCTGAGTTACAGGTGGGAGAAGTCCTGGCAACAGGTGCCCATCACCTGCCAGGAAGTGCTCTGCCCCCCCAGCCATCTGGGAGAGGCCGATTGTTAGAGACAGGGACAATCTGGGGAGGGAAGAAGTATGAACTGTAGAGTTAAGAGACACGTGGCTTTGAATCTCAGCTCCAGATTTCCTATCTATATAGCTCCAAGCTTTACTTTTCTCATCTGTAAAACAGGGAGGATCATACCTCCATCACAGACTATGATATAACATATCAAGGTGTAATATCATGCTCTTTCCTTGCAATTACCTGAATCATTTCAAAAGGAAGTCTAATAATAATAAAGAAAATCTTTGTGTTGATTTGTCAATGCTCTTTACATATGAAGTTTAACAAATCTTTACCTATTATATATCTTCTAAATATTTTCTCCCAGTTTAACCCTTGTCTTTTGGTTTGATTTACTTCTTTCATACTCAAATTTTAAATCTGATGATGCCAAATTTAGCATTTTTTTCCTTTATAGTTTCTGCTTTTTATTTTTATTCTTAGTGCCTTCCCCACTGTCAAATAATCCAACTGCAGGTAATTATCTACATTTCAATCTAGCCCTGGCTCATTATGTTACTTTTTTAATCTATCCGGAATTTCTTTTATTAGGAATCAAATTGTTTTTCTCCCAAATAGTTAACCAACTGCCCCTGTACCATTTATTAAATAATCTTTCTTTACTCACTGCCTGGAGATACCACTGTTATCATATACTACATGTGTATATAAATTTAGGTTTGTTTCTGCATTTTCTATCCTGTTCCACTGAGCTGCCTTTTGTTGCTGCAAATTATTTGTAGCTTTAATACATTTATGGATGCTTTTACAGTTCCTCTCCCCATCTCCACTCATCATCATTCTGCTTTTCTGATCTTTTTTTTCTTCTTAAAATATTGAGAAATTCTCTTTTCATTTTTTAAGTCTTTTTAAGGTTCTCAGTACAATTTGTGGTTTCATTCACATAAAGCCTACAATTTTAGGCTAAGTTTATTCTCTCAGTTTTAACTATTGTAAAAGATTTTTTTCAATTGCCATTGTATGGAAAAGCTATGAATCTTTGTTTTGTAATGAGCCATATTACTAAAATCTCTTTTTAGTTCTAAGATTTTTCAGTTAAGTCTCTTGCGTTTTCCAGGTAAAAAGTATTGTCATCTGTGTATGAAGATTTTTGTTTCCTTCTTTACCATATTTATATTTCATTTCTTTTTCTTATTTTGTCTCATTGGCTAGTCAAAAATGTTCAATTCCAATAGAAATAGTGAATAAAGTCTTTAACGAGAAAAGAAATGCCCCTAATAAGTACAGAAACTGTCCCCTGGTTTAAGACAGATGTTCCAGAAGTTCTTTATGTTATAAAATCATATATACATATGTTTATAACCATATGTATGTGTTTGTATACATGTATGTATATACTTTATATATATGTATGTATCTTTGTGTATTTATACACAAAATTTAGATGAACCGTAGAATCTTTGTCACATTCCAAAAATTATTCTTGTTGGAATTTTTATTAGATTTGCATTCAACTTACAGAATTACTGGGGGAAATGGACATCTTTACACTCACCATCCTGGACATGGTGCACCCACCCATTTACTCCAATCTTTGATATTTCTCAGCAGCTCTCTTCAGACAGGATCTTGCCCATTTCCAGGTAAGTGTATTCCTGTGTTTATTTTCTATACTATTTTTGCTATTATTAGGAGGAGTCCCTCCTTTATGTTCTAAATTATTATTACTGGTACATAAGAAAACGACTGATACTTTCAGTTGGTTACCTTACTACATTGTTATCATTTTTCCTGTTGATTCTCTAGAACTGCACTCTCCAATATGTAGCCACTGACCATGTGTGGCTGTTTTATCTTAATAAAAATTAAATAAAACTAAAAATTGATTTCTCGGTCATACCAACCAAGATTCACGGGCTCAAGAGCCGCACGTGGCACAGATACAGAACATTTTTAACATCGCCAAAAGTCCCATTGGACAGTGCTGCTGGAGTTTTTTAAGTAGATCATCTTTCTGTAAATCATCTGCTTTCCAATATTTACATCTCATTTATTTTCTTGACTTACTGAATAGGTTAGAACTTTCAGGATAATGTTGAATGATAGTGAAAAGAGGCATCCTTGTCTTACTCCTGCATGTAGGGCAGGGCTCCCCCCAGTATTTCAATGGAATGATTCCCCAAAAACGTCTGACCACAGATCCCTTTTCTGGGAATCCATATTCCAAATGTCACCACTAGGTATAACGTTGGTTGTTGGTTTCAGAAACTTCTTTTTCTAGTTTACTGAGGTAACATCGAATCTCCATTTCTGCTCACTCTTATACCTTTTTGGCATCTAAAGAGATGATCGTACAATCTTTCTCCTTTAACTTATTAAAATGATGAGCCAAAATAATAGAGTTCCTAACAGTGAGCTGTTTTAGCATTCTCAGATAATCCTGACATCCACACTTCTCAGATGAGGTTACACAAAGGCCAAAGGCAAGCTCAGTGCCTCTTCCAGAGATGATTGTTATTTTTAAGTTAAAAGCAACAAAGATACATTACAGAGTGGAAAGCAAAATGTGCATCTGTTTCCAATGTAAAGGATACGGCTTGGAAGGACAGGCTGCTCTTGGGCTGGACTCCTTCAAGAGCCTGAGGACTCTCTCCTCTGAAGATTAAAGGATTTTGGTGACAGTTTTAGACATGCATGACTCTTGTTGGAAGAAGTGTTCTTTGCTGCTGGGGGACCGGGGATCTCTGCGAAGAGGAGAGACAAGCATCTCTCCCTAACGTGAGGGGGGTTGGCTTGACAGACCTCTCTAAATTCCTTCCCACTCCATTCCAGACTTTTCTGCCTTCCAAATCTTGGCATTCCTTAAGACCAGATGTACCCTCTCTTGCAGAGAGGGTACGGAAACTTGTAGCCCAGAGACCAGTTTTCCAAGTTCATGAAAGGCTCAGGAATCCTTTGCATGAACCACTCCTCGCCCCTGATGGGACTTACAGGCCCAGCATGCAGGACCGTCAGCCAGGGGCTTGGGGGGACCCAAGTGGAGTGAGGTACCCCACCGAGCACCATCCTCACATGAGCTCGAGGTGCCAGACCCCCACTTCCCGACCTGCCTCCCCCAGCCTGGCTTGTTTGGAGAGGAGTAAGGAGAAATGAAGCCAGAACACCTGAATTCTACTGCATCTGCCATCGGCTGGTGGGTTCCTTCCGAGTCAAATGGAGAAAAATCCTACCTACCTTGACCTTCCTTAAAGGGCTGCTTTGGGCACCAATGACCTCCTCTACTAGGCTATATGCACCTCAAAGGCAAGGCCAGTGACTGATTCACCCCTGGTCCCCATGCACCCCCAGCTTGGCACAGAGCAGCTGCTCAAGGGGTGTATGGAGTGAGAGGGAGTGAGTGGTGAAGGTGGGAAAGTGTGGAGCGCTCTGCACGGGACAACAGGGCCACCAGCCAGGGGCCAAGGCTTTGGGGCATCAAGGGGATAAGGACACACCCATCTCCGAAGTCCCAGCTGTAGAGAAACGAGGCAGTCTTGAAGAAGTCGCTGGGGTCGTGGAGGAGGAAGGAGACTTTAAGGACCGTCTTGGTGAGGTAGGAGCTGGGCCAGGGCAGGGAGGTGTTCTGGGTGACGACGAGGTTCCCCACGAGGAACTCTGGGAGAGAGAGATGGAGGGAGGGTGAGTCCACGGAGGTGGAGGGAGGTCTGTGCCAGCTGGCAGAGTAACCTCTCCCCAACTTGACCTTCTGGCTGTCAGAGCTGGGTGGTGGCGAGAGGGGACCCTGCAGGTCACTGTACATGGAGTCGCACGCCCCCCAAGTTGTCGCCCCTGCTGTGTGGACACTGTTGACAACTCACGGCATGTGTGACATGCATAGCTTCCCTTCTGCACCCCTTCTACCAGGACCTGGAATTTTGTGGCACAAAAGATGCCCAGAACCAGAAGGAAATGCATAGACTCTGAAAGCAACTTTTAGAAAATATTTCAAAGTATTAGATGAGCCTAGAAAAAAATTAGCAGTTCTACTGATCGCCTCTCCACAGCCAGTGTGCTGGGCCGGGTGAGGACTGCCGTTCTGTGTCTACTTCTCTAAAAAAGTTTAAGAGCTAATTTTTTTCACCACAAAAGTGGAAAGTAAGGCATATTCAATGAAGCTCATCTGGAAAAAGGTGAAAAGTAGAGCAAAAAGAAACTGCTTATCATTCAAACACAACCATTGTTGATGTTTGAAGAACTGCAAAGTATTTGTGTGTATGTGTTTAATGTACACATATAATAAACAGTTGATCAAATTGGTTACAGAATTTTGTGTTTTGCTTTTTAAAATTTTACAAGCATGAGTATCCCCTAGGACATTACAAACTCTTTGTAAGCGTCATTATTATTGATTATACGAATTATGTCGATAACCTGACCAGTCCCCTGATGGCTGCATACTGACCTTGTTAATATTTTCTTCTGCTATTATAAACACCACCGCAATGAATATCTTTGTGCATAAAGCACAACCTCTCATTACCCAAGTGAGAGGTTTATTTCCTAAAGATAAATTCTGTATTAGATTGTAAACTCCAAGAGAGCAGGGACTTCTTGGGAGGAGAGAGAAGGGAGGGGAGGGGAAAGGGAGGAAGACAGAGCGAGAACATGAATGGACCAAAGGCTAAAATAATTTATAACCATTAATACATATGGATCAGACGCTCTCCAAAGGGTGGTATTAATTTATACCCCCAGAAGCAATACATGCTTAGTGTCCATTTCAGCACAACCCTGCCAGCAGTGGGTATTATCATTTTCTGATTTTTCTTAACTTGACTGAGAACAGGGAAGGAACCATGGGTCTAATCTGCATTTATGTGATTACTGGCCAGGCTGGATATTTTTCTCTGCACCAAGAGTCTGAAGGCAAATTAGCAAACAGGGAAGGTCCTCACCTGTGATGGGGAGGACAAGGAGGCTCTTCGCCACAGGCTGGCACATCCAACAGTTGGCGGCGGTGACCCAGACAGAGACCGGGAAGTCCCCAGGCACATTACCCACGACACGGATGGTCGAGCTGAAAGCCTCATCAGTCTTCCCCGTGAGCAGCAGTGGGGTATGGATCCAGTGGAAGCGGGAGAGGTGGGTGTTGGTGGGCAGGACCAGGCTGCCATTGTCGCTGGCCACCAGGCTGGCCGTGATGGTCACCTCTGCCCCCGTGGTGGCAGGGCCATCGGTGGTAAGGCGGAGTTCATACAGGCCTAGGAGCCCGGAGACAAAGACTGTTTCAGGAGGGGGGTATGGCAAGGAACCCCACTGCCATCCTCTAGGCTGGCTTCTATTATTCTATTTTACAGGTGGAGAAACTGAGGCCCAGGCAGCTCAAGTGACTTGCCCAAGGATCACACGGCTGGTTCACTGTCAAACTGGGATTCTAACCCAGGCCTGCCTGACTCCAAATCACATGTTCTTTCCAGTGTCCCTCGTTTATATTTTCTCGTCAAGCCAGCCACACAGGGCCTTACAGAGCATGTGTATGGCACAGGCCTGACCCGGCCAGACTTATATCTTAGCTCTGAAAATGACTACCAATGCATGTCACAGGAGGACCCACACAGCTGCTGCCACGAAATGCCCACCATTACCCACTCTTCTGGACCAGTCTTTACCCGTCACACAAAATTCCAGTTTGAAACACAAAGCTGAGTCTGGACCCCGTTAGAGGCCTAACGCCTTGATGGTGGTAGAACAAGCCTTGGGAAGAAGGTCCATTCCGATCCAAGCCAAGCCTCCTCCTCTCTTGGTCTCAGTTTCTAAACCTATACAGTGAGAGATTCTAGATCTGCACTGCCCCATAGAGTAGCCACTAGCCACAGATGGCTAAGTTTCAATTAAAATGGAACAAACTTTAAAATCCACTTTCTTGGTCGCTCTAGTGTCATTTCAGGTGCTCACAGCCACAAGCGGCTAAGGGTCACCATATTGAAGAGTGCGGATACAGAATATCTTCACTGTCACAGAAAGTCCCGTTGGGCTGCACTGCTCTAGGTGACTCCAGGATTCCTGCCGGGGCCGACACTGGAACTTTGTGATTCCAGCTGGGTCGACTCCTCGGGGAACCTGGACTGTAGTACTGGGGCTGCTGCTCTTACAAGGCACCCGGGAACGCGTCCTGCAGGATGCCAGCCGAGAACAGGGCCTCGAGCATATGGCATAGAGGTCAGGTAAGGGGCCTTTAAGTAATACTCCCCTCCTGACCACGAGCTTGAAGGGAAGACTAATTACAACCTGAAAATAGAGAAAAGTATAAAACAAAAAAATTAAAATATTTTATTAAAAATTTTAATCAGTAACAACCATTGTCACTATATTTGGGCATTTTCTACCATTTTTTTTTAATTATGCTCATCCTCTGAGATTATATATTGCATTGTTGTTGTTTTTTTCAATTCTGTGTCATAGGCGTTTTCCTAAGTCATTATTTTTCAACTTTACATAGATAAATAACATTTTATCATATAAACAAGGTAAGATTTTAAAATAAGCTTTGTTTCCATCATAAAAGTAATACACACGCATAAAGAACACTAGAAACGTCCCATTATCTTGCCTCCCAAAGATAACAGCTGCCATCATATTGCTGCCTTCACGTCTCTTTTTCACGCATAAACATTTTTAATTTAGTCATAATCACATTCTGCACACAATTTTGAATTATTTTATTTTCACATGACGACATATCAAAAGCAAATCCATGGCCGCACTAATATGAATTTCAATATTTGCATGATCATCCCTCAAGCAGGTATATCTTAATTCACACAACCCTTCACTCTTGTCAATAGCACTACTGCATATCTTCACCATTTTCCTGTAATTTATAATTTTCCTCTTCAGGTGAGACTTCTGCAGGGCTTGAGGTGGGAGAGGGCCCAGCCTGCTGCAGTGTACACCTGGGCAGAAGATGTGATGCAGAAGGAAGCAGGGGGCTGCAAGCCCCACTCTGCTCTTTGCACTTACCCACTCCCACCCACCTTCCCCACCAAACTCCCCCCTCCCATGGCTTCAAGTGCTTCCGAAATGCTGATGGAACTCAGTCGCCTAGACCTACTTTCCAGGCTCCAGACCTGCACTGAGCAATACACTAGCTACTAACCACATGTAATTAAGTTAATCAATGGTAATTACTTAAATTTAATTCGTTCTAAAAATTCAGTTCCTCAATTGCACTAGCCACATTTCAAGTGCTTAATGGCCATAGGTGGTGAGTAGCTACTCTTCTGGACAGCACAGATAGAGAACATTCCTTCATCACCCAAAGTTCTGTTGGACAGTGCTGTTCTAGACCCTCTGGATTTCTCTCCTCCCCAAACCTACCATTCTCTTCACCTCCCACTCTCTGTTGGGGTTAGTGGATCCAGCTGTCCCAAGAATCAATTCCTAGGCCTCTGCCACCGTAATTCCTCCCATCTGGGCCCATTTGCCTTCTCTCCATCTCTTAAGGCCATTGTTTAAGACGAGCATTCAGCCCTGTCTGGATTACCGCTACATCCTGTCCCTGATCCTTGGCCTCTCATCCTGCCCCGCTCTCAGGCATCCCCAACAACAAGCTTCCTGCACAGCTAACCTGATCATGGACCAGCCTCAGGGCGGAGTCCAGAATCACATCTTGGCACATCCATGCTGTAGCCGGCCACTTGAACTCTTGCAGTTCTCCCCAACATGCTCTGTCCTTCCTAGCCTTGGGGCCTTTGCACATACCATCTCTACCGCCCTTTTCCACCTACCTGTCCATGGATATAACCTCTTCTGGGGAGCCTTCCCTGAGCCCCTCGCCCCCTCGGTGCTTTCCCAACAGCCTGAGCACACAGTTGTCACAACCCATGTTGGGATGAAGGTTTCCTTGTCTCTCCCACTGCACTGCAAGCTCCTTGGGAGCAGGGGTCATCTCTATCTCCAGTAGGTGTTCAATACCACTGCTGCCAAGTGGCACCTGGAGAGAAGAGTATAGCAGAGGGACCAGCCCACCTGGCACTTCCCCCTGGAAACTGTTCACCCAGGTGGCACTGACTGAGCCCCTTTCTTGGGCCCCACCCGTACAGGTGCTGGTGGGCCAAGAAGTGCAAGACAAGCCTCCTGCCCTCAGGGAGCTCAGGAGAGACCTGTGGGACTCAGCAAACCTGGGAGGTGAGCGAGTGTGTCCTCAACTGTGTTGCCTTCCCCTTGTGGCAACATCGCCCGCCCCCACTGCTCCCGCCTTTCCCCTCGCCCATGTCACACATTCCTTGTTCTGAATCCCTTTCCCTGGGGCCATATTTTGGATTATAAAGTCATTTGGGGTGGCACTGAAAGGGACCTGCAGTGTCTTAAGCCTAGAGAGAATTCTAGATGCTGCTGCAGAAGCTTCTCCAAGAAAATATATATTACACTGAGGGACCTGAGTGCCCTGAGGCTCCCAGGTGATAGAGCTGGGGTCAGCTTTGGGTCTTTCGTCTCTTTGTCACTTGGGGCACCTGTGTCACTTGGGGCCACTCAGCAAATCTGCACCACCCGGGCTGAGCTCTGTTCTCCCTCCTTTGGCTGGGAGGCAGCATTTGGCCAGGCTGCGCAGACAGAGGTGCCTGGATGAAAGGCCATCTCCTCCCTCCTTCCTCTGGCTCCCGCCTGCCCCCCAGGCGGGGAGCGTGGGCCAGAGCGAGGCTGGCAGGTGGCTGCATGCTAATGGCCATCCAGCATCTGCAGCAAGAGGGGCCCGTGTCAGCACGACGCAGATCCGTTGCCAAGGGAATGGAATCAGGAGGGCAGCAGGCTTCGGCTGGGAGGAGGGATGGGTGGGGGTTGGGAGGCGCTGTGGCTACAGCAGACATTGCTGCAGACACTGGCCCAGCTCCTGGGAGCTCCCCGACCTGTCCAGACACAAGGAGCCTCCAAGAGCACATTTTTAGAGCTTTTTTCTAAAAAGCTCCTGTTTCACAGACCCAAGATGACGCTGCCCCTGTTCCTCAGGGCTTTCAGAAACATCCAGGGCATCCAGGCTGAAATGAACCATGAAGGCTTTGCCACGTGTGGATGAAGAAACCAAGGGCCAGGTCTTGTTGCCCTACGCATCCAAATCCATCTTTCCAAGTTTGCGAGCCCAGATGACATGGCCTTGGAGTACAGAGCAGCCAAGGCAGGGGTTTAGGGAGCTCCACAGGTGCCACAAGTGACAAAAAGACAAAAGACCCAAAGCAAAAACCGAGGTGGCAACTGCGCAAAGCTTGACCCACGGAAGCAACACCCACTAGCAGGCCCCCAGGGCTTCCACTTGGAGCATGCACATTCTCCCTGACAACGCAGCATGGGCCCTGAACATTCTAGAAAACGGCTACCTCAGCCCTTTCACACTGCACCCCTAGATAGCCCGAAACACTTCCCAAGGTACTTCTGAAGTCTGGATAACACAGCCTGGAATGAATTAACAGTCCAAGACATAGACTTCTGACTTCAAGCCCTGGTGTATGAAGCATGCTGTGCTGGCTGACCCAGACCCCCGGAATGGCAGAAGGGGCTTCTGAGTCTCTGCTTTCCTCCCGTGGGTTTTCCCCAACCCCATTCCCAGCTATTTTGACCGTATGGTGGGTGCAACAGACCAGGCTGGGAACCACATGTGACTTCCAAAGAATTAACTCTTATTTTTTTTTTTTTGTAATTTAGGCCACATTGATAATTTCGGGACATAGGTAAACCTGATGGTTTACATTTCTATATGAATTTCCACGGGAAAGCAGGGTATCCTCACCAAGCATAATTCCCACAAAATTCTCTAATTCATCCCTAAGGTGCAGGTTTTTATTTTACTTTATGGCTTTTCTTTCACAAATTTGCATTAGATCTCTTCCTCTCTATACCCTTCTTTGGGGGGGGGTAATGAAAAATGTTGGATAATGTTTAACCTCCCCCCACCGCCCACCTGACCCCCAACAACTCTCCAATCTGAGTCCCTTTTTTGTCGCCAAAATGAGGCAGAAAGGTTGGTGCCGGCCTTCCGCCGGTGGGGAGGTGGGGATGTCGCCAGGGCGACAAGGGGTAGCACCCAACGGCACTTGTCAGCTCGGGTCCATTTTGGAAATTACTCCCAAAGAGGAAATGGCAGACTAGTCTCCTGGGCTCTAAAATCGCATCCTCCCGGAAGCCAACACAAACAGGGTGGAAAGCCTCTGCAGATAAGGCGACATATTAAGTCAAAAACGCTGCTCCTCAGGCAACCCGGCCGCGCTCCCTGGGAGCTGTGGCTTGACGACCGACCTGGCACATTCCGGGTCTCCCCGCATCGTCCCCCCACCCCAACCCCCGCGGCTGCAAGGCCCCCAGGCATCGGGATGGACACGCCGGCCACCGCGCGCGGTTCCCGGGTCAGGGCCAATCTGGAGGTGGTGGCAGGAACGGAGGGGCGCAGGGAGTCCCCTTAAGTGCCGGGGAGACTTCTGGCGAGAGGGGTGAAGGGAGAGAGGAGAGGCTTCGCGGCGCTCGGCTGGCGGTCCTCCCCTCCGCAGCGCGCTGCAGGGGCCTCCGGGGAGCAGGGAGGTGCGAGCAGGGCGCACGGCCACCTCCGCAGCCCGGACTCCCTGCGAGGCCACCCGCAGGAGATGGCCCCGAGGGTCCGGGCGCGCGGCGGTTCGGGGAGGGCGGGAGGCCGGCCGGTGCTGCGCCTTACCTGCGGCCACCCTCGCCGGGGCCAAGGGCAGGAGGCAGGCGAGACAGAAGATGCGGCTGAGGAGCGGCCAGAGGGCCGGGGCCATCGCGGCGCCAGGAGCGGCAGGAGCGCCGAAGTGACGCGGATCGACTCGGCGGCGGCGGCGGCGGCGGCGGCCGCTCCTCAGGGCGCGCGGTGCGGGCTGTGCGAGGAGGTGCGGGCGCGGCGCTCGCTCGTCCCCGCCGCGGAACGCTGTGTCGCTGCGCGCCGCCGCCACCCACAGCCCGCTGTGCCCCCCCCCCGAGCCCCTCCCTCCCCTTGCTGCACCCCCCCCTCCCCATCATCCTCCTTCCTCTCCCCACCATCCTCCCTGCTCTCCCATCCCCGGGTCCGCGGTCCTCCTGTCTGTGCCCCCTCCCCTCGCCACACCCCTCCTCTCCCCACCGTCCTCCCTCCTCTCCCCACGATCCTCCCTCTTCTCCCCTCCATCCTCCCTCCTCTCCCCTCCCCTCCCCGGGTCCGCGCTTCTCCAGTCTGCGCCCGCCGGCTCTGACTCAGCGTCCCCAGAGGCGCGCGCCCAGCTGCGAAGCCGCGAGCAGGCCCCCTTGGGTTCTTTCTCCAGGTGCTTTCTCCTCTCGTGACGCACGCGGCTTGGAGATGGCTCTTCATTCAAGAAGCCTTGAGCGCCTAATGTGTGCGGGCGCTGGGCCAGGACCTGGAAACGCCTCCTGTCCCTGCTGAGAGAGGGGCTTGAGCGCAGGGGCCCTGTGCTGGGGCTGATGTCATTCCTCGGTTTATCCTCTCCGCGCCTGCTGTAAAATGGGGCTTCTGCTCATACCTGGGCCGACGGCGACGTCGCTGTCACTGAGGGCTTTCGAGACTCTGACAGCCTCCATGAGGAGTGACCAGGCCCCTCCTTGGACACTCCTTGGCCTAAGCAGGCGCTTCCATCTGCCGTAATGGAGCAGAGTGTGTCTTTCCTCTTGGAAGGTGGCTGGGCCTGGCTGGCCTTAAAGACTGGACACCTGCAGCCTGGATCCCGGTCCCAGCTCTGCCCCTGCTTTACTGCATACGTGGGCAAGGGATCCTCCCAGAGGGAGCAGGATGGATGGCTCTTCCAGCCTGGTGGCTGATGGGCCACGATTGCATAAGCCACTGCATGGGAGCAAAGGCATCTAAAGCCATGGCCCCTGTCCCCAGGACAGCTGTGGGCTCCCCTGGGGATGGGCCCACTGGCTCCACTGCCATCTCACTGTAATGGAAGGGGCACAGATTTGAGTGAGCCCCCTTAGGAAAGTTAAAAGTGCTAGACAGACATCACTCTCCAGTAGAATCATCACCATCATGGGGACAAATCCCAGGCCTAGGAACCAGGAGCCTTTGGATTCGCCCTGAGAGTTATATGACCTTGGGAAAGTCACTTTCCTCTCTGTTCCCTTTCCTCAGTTCCCTTTTCTTTAAAATGGAAATAATAATAGTCTCTACCCCATGAGACTTGTAAGGAGAAGATGAGTTACAAGAGTGCTTTGGGTACAGCCAGCCCTCAGTCAGTGCTGGCTGTCATCGTTGGAACTGGTTAAGGACTTGGGAGAGTTCTGCTTGTCTGGCAGGAATTAAGAAGAAAATTGTGCTTGAGAAGAAAATAATATGTTAAGATTATAAATTTAGTTTCAAATATTTAACTAACCTTATTCAAACGTCTGGTCGTTAGTGGTTTTTAAAATGTACTAAATGCATAAGTAGAATAATAAGACTTATTGTTTTTTAATGTGTAACTTTATTACATTGAATAATAATTTGACAGTAGCCACAGATAGTCCTCTCTGTGTCACAGAAGACACCTGCAGGGCCACCCTGAAGCTGATGCTGATGTGACCCTTCTTTGCCTAATTCCTGTTGGCCAGGATTCCCCACAGGCGTCACCTCCCCCAGAGACCTTCCCTCCGTGGGCTCTCACAGCCCTGTCTTGATGTTAATTCTTGTCACTGAAAATCTTGCTAAAGCAGGTTAGTTGGTCTGTTGGTCCTAGCAAGGCGATATAATTACATCTCCCTTTGGTCACAGAAGGGCAGCAGCCTTAGGGTTCCATTGTCCTGCCCTGGAAATGTAACTGTGGGAAGTGGGGGCCACTGAGCTGACAACAATCACCCCAGATCCGCTCTGGAGAGGCTTTGGGGGCTAAATCCCATGGTAGATTGGAGGGGGAAAACGGAGTTTGCATGACCCCTTGGTTGAATTTAACACGGCTCTAGGCCTGGGTGTCGGCTCTGCCAGGGCAGCCGGAATTTTTAGACCTCGGGACACCCAATCACCCTGTTGAAACCCACAGGAGACCTAGGGAGGGTAAGATTGTGAGTTATTAATTTATCACAGGGGAAGGTCCTTCGCAGGGCTGGAAACCTTAAGGCCAGCCTCCAAGAAGCCCAACTGGTGAGGCAAAGGTAAGCAGCGACTCCAGCACACCAGGGGACAGTGGAGGGGGGATGGCCTCTTGGTGTGTCTCACAAGGTCAGCCTTAGGCCTGGTGCCCTGACCTATTCCTTGCCCAGACCCCCTGTCCAGATTGTTCATGCCCACCAGAGTCGATATTTTGGGGCTCCCTGTATTCTCCTTTTTAGTGTTCCAGCTGACCCTGCCCTCTGGGTTCATACAGTATTATTCCAAACAGGGTACACGTCTATACATTTCTTTATGGACTGAAATGTGTCTCTTGAGAAACTCATATGTTGAAGCCCTAACCCCCAATGTGACTGTTTTTGAAGACAGAGCCTTTAAAGAGGTAATTAAGGTTAAACTGGGTCATAAGGGTAGGGCCCTAATCCCATATGACTGGTGTCCTTCTAAGAAAAGGAGCAGATACCAGAGATCTCTCTCTCTTTGAAAGCACAAAGAAGAGGTCCTGTGAGCACATAGTGAGATGATGGCCACCTACAAGCCGGGAGAAAAGGACTCATGATGAAACCTACCTTGGTGACACTTTGATCTTGGACTTCCCAGCCTCCAGAACCGTGAGAAATAAATTTCTGTTGTTTAAATCACCCTTTGTTCTGGTAACTGTAGCAGACTAAGACAGCACCTGATGGGCGACGGGAATACATTGGTAAAGAAAGACTAAAAAGGAGCTTACTGTCTAGGAAGGGAAACAGATGATAAATGAGTAAATAAATAATTTCAGATTGTGAGGTTACTGAGGAAAACTACAGTATTATGAAAGACAGTGGTGGGGGGTGGTAATGGTTTTCTTATTTTGGGCCTTAAGGAAGGCCTATCTGTGGAGGTGACTTTTGAGCTCGTCAAGGATGACAAGGAGCCAGCTGTGTGCCTCTGAGGGAAGAATATTCCGGACAGGAGAAGTAGCTGCAGAGGTCCTAGGTGGGCAGAGGCACAGCACGGCCACGGGGGCTGGAACGTGAAGAATGAGGTTGGGAGGTCCGCAGAGCCAGGCAATGAGGATGAGCTGAAAAGTCTTTGGAGGGTTTTAAGCAGAGGAGGGGTGTGATCTAATTTATCTGATAGGGATGACTTTGGCAGTGTCCTCAACCTCTAATTCAGGAGACAGACAAGAAAACAGGCAAAAATCAGAGCAGCCTGATGGGTGGTTTGCTAGAAGCTAAGGCCATGGGAAAGTAAAGGGATTTCACCAATGTTAGGGCTAGGCCTAACTGTAGGTCTTTGTCATATGCAATTAAGCTGAAATTTATCAAAGGATTTGTCTACTGCTGTTTTTTCTCCACCTCCCTCTCCCCCAAACAATATTAAACAACCACCTTAGCACACTGATTTCTTCCCTCAGATTTTTCAACTTTCCCCAACTTTGGACCTCCTACTTTTGTTGGGGGGGGGGGGGTAGTAGGAGCAGAGAGGATTTTGCTTGCAAGTAGGCACGTCTTCCATAGGAGAAGGGGTGTTCTGATCCATTTTATTTCTCCGGGGCAGAAATAATTGGCAGTAAATACATCCACTTACAATCCTAACACTTAAGCAGAGGCTCATTCTCAAGTGGCAACATTAAACAAGCAAGGAGCATGTTTCCCAAGAGGGCACCTTTCCTCCAGGGTATCTGCAGGTATTGCAAGCTCTATGTATTGCAAGGTGTGAAATGTATCCATCTGGGAAGGGAACACAAAGATTTTGGTGAGTTACTGATGATGGGGGGTGGAGGTAGGAACAGTCAGGAAGGGGCACAAGGTGGAGCAGGTCCTGGAAGTGGTAGAGGTGGGTTAGATCATCACTTTCATGCTCTGTCCATTTAACATGGTAATCATGGGTTACCAGGAACAGCTATTCAACCACTATCATAGATGGGGTCTATAGGTAAGGCCTGACAGTACTTTTCTCTTCCAGGGCCTCTTGGTCCAGCCCACACCACCTCACCTGGGCATCAGGGCATTCTGCCTTAATCCCTTCTCCGTCTCATCATTGCTCTGGCCTAGCCAGAGGCATCTGCCCGCCAGGTAGGAGCAGACAGGGAAAGCGGTCTTCTGCCATCTAGCCTCCAAGTGAAGCAGCCGCAGAGCTAATGACTGTGTTCTGCCGGCCACGTCCAGGCAGAGGAGCTTGCAGGGTCTTGGTCTATCTTCAGCCTTCGCCTTCCCAAAGACCTTCCTTGCCTCCTCCCCCTTCCCAGGCTAAGAACCCCAGGAAGGCAGCGGGGGAGAAAGCCCCGCCAAGCCTGCCACGTTCAGTTCAGGGGTGGACTCTACCCGGGCCCGACCGCCGCCAACTAGGGAAGCCCCTCTGGTGCCCACCGCCCCGCAGCTGCCCCCGAACTTCCCTCTCGCACCCTCCCGGGACCTGGCTCCTGCGAGGAGATTTAGGGCGGAAAAAAGCCAATCAATGACACTTGGCACCTGTTTGCCCCTCCTTGCCTGCCAGCGGCCCCGCCCAGGCAGGCGGAGGTTTAAAGGGCCGGGGTGGCAGACGCCCCTCCCCGCTCCCGCCGCCCGCCCAGGCCGCACCCACTTGGGGGCGGCGCGCCGGGGCCTAGTTCTCGGGCGGCAGGCGCGGCCGCTTTAAGCGGGGGCGGGCCTGCGCGCGGTGGCGGCCCAGGCTTCGCAGGGGGTCGCGGGCCGGGGCTGCAGGAGGCCGGCTGCCGAGGTCGGGGTAAGCGCGGGCAGGTGCGGGTGGGCGGCGGAACGGCCCTGGGAGGCGCGCGCGGCGGCCCCGACGGATGCAAGGGGGCCCGGTCGTGTGGCCGCCTCTGCGGCGCGGCGGCTCCGCCGATCGACGGAGGTCCGAGTGCCCGGACCCCTCCAGCCGGCCACTGGGGCCCAGCCCGGGCGGCGGGGGCTGGCGGCGGCCCGCAAACCTCCGCCGCTGCCTGGCCGGGGAGCTACGGGACGCGGAGGGCAAGCGGCGCGGGAATTGGCCCTCGGCGCTCACCGTAGCCCGGCCTGGGAGGCGGGCGCTGGGTGTGCGGGGACGGTGACAAAAGGAGGAAAGCGCAGGGCCG